TCCCTCACACTAACCTACGACCTTAATTAAACATGTTCTGGTTATAACATCTCTTCTGTATTATATGACATTGTAATAATTTCCCTGACAATTTATAAGAAAAAAAAAAAAGTTGTGTTTATTTTTTTAAAATCAGTTAATTCAGGTTTGGGTGCTTTTGGTCCTTATTTGATAAGGTAATATTCCATTAACAAATCTTTCTGGTGTCTCTCTAAATCAAAAACCTGCTCTGAATGTTTGTGCTTGTCACAGTGCATGGTCTGTGTCTCCAACCATATTCATTTCCAACAGAGCTCTCCTTGGTTCCTGCGCTTACAAGTCATTTTCTGCCTTTTCTTTGTTGTGGTTATATTATTCTTTGTGTCTTGCCCTTAGTTAAGAAAATCTGAGTAAACATGACATTTTGCAAAACAAGGAGTCCTTAGAGTTAAGTGCTTCTGTTTCAGAAAACTTAAGTTTTTTGTCATCTGGACGTAGTTTTATGCTTTCTTGCTTAGATAGGTATACATGCCATAAGCACATGGGAAATATATAGGTTGTGTTACTTAGGAAGGGTTGACCACACCCCTTCTTTTTCTCCAAGTATATTTTCGTTCTAACGTTTTGTGATTAACCCAGGACTACAGGAAATGTTTCCTGCCTGAAGACATAATTGGTGTATTATTTTTGTCTTAAACACTGATTTCCTGCCAGACCTATTCATGTGGTAGGTTGTGGCCAAATCCGAAGCCTTTCAAGTACTTTCACAATGAGGCCTTGGTAAAGGGTACCAGATAAAATAACACTCAGATGAAGCAGGTGGTATCCTAATAGTTCTAGATATTTTTTCCCCTCTATCTTCAACTTTGCAACTTTTTTTAGGATGTTCCAAAACCTATTCATAGAGTGCTTTCAGCAAATTTTGCATATCTTGGATTTATTTTAAAACTTCTTAAGGTTTCAATTAATTGTGTTTTGCAGTCTTACTAGTTTCCAGTGATATGTCATGAAATCCATCCCTTTATATCTGTGTGTATATGTATGTATATTTATATATTTGCATATATGTGCACACGTGTACATGCTTACCTGTAAACAGCTGTGTAAGATTGTGTTTTGCCTGCTGCGTTCTCTTGATAGCAGTCTTACGTCAGGAAAATACTTTTAAAAATTAGCCTTATCACAATATTGGTTTTCATAGGATTCTGTTCTAAAGTTCGGGAAGGAAGAATATCATGCTGATACAGTTCTTCTTAGAAGGTGAAATATTTTGTCAGTTTTGTGCAGAAACACATAATCTCTTAGTGATAACTAAAGTACAGTGTTTCAGAGAAATACCAATTTTCCTATTAAAAGTTAAATAAAGAATTTTCCATATATGTGGCAGTTTTTTAGTCTGGAACTTCAAAACATTCCAATGAATAAAAGCTGGCAGATCCTTAAACTTCCTCTTTGATCCTTAAACAAGCTGTATCTCAGGTATTTTTGAATGATTCTTCCACTGAAATTAAGGAAATCACGCTTTCTATCTAGATAAGTGTCCTTTTTTTTTTCTCCATTTGCTGTTATTTCCAGTCAACTCAAAAAAATGAACTCTGAAAAACACACTGACTTTTCACTTTGCCAGACTCACTTATAAATTAAGTACATATAATGTAAGACTGTCTGAACTCATCAACTCTAAAACAAATCTGATTTTATTTATTTAAGAAAAGGAAACAGTGTGAAACCAAAGCCTCTTCATTAACATAAGCATTTGTACAGATAGTTTAGCAAGCAAAAATGACTGCTGTGATAACTTGTGTTTGCACTTGCTGTACATTAACTTTTTAGGAAGTGAAATGTCATTTAGTAATGTCAACCCTAGTAAAGTATAGATAGCTGCATTTTAAAGCTAATTGCAAATATTCAAGCCTTTCCTGAAGAATTAGTATTTTATCCCAGCTTTTATCAAATAACCACCCTTCATAATTCAATATATCCTGTAAAAAAGAGGCTTTTTAAGTGTTGCAAAGCATTTGCCCTATCAAGCAAAGATAGTGTTCCTTTATAAAGGAATTGTGATACAAGTGTGTAAAAGTGTGTGAAATTAAAGCTCAAATAGATGGCTCGTACAATTACATTTACAGAAAAATCATTTATGTTCTATCCATCATATTTCAGCTGATGCATGTTTTCCAATTTGCACTTATATCATGCAAGGCCAGATTAGGTCTTTCTTGCTCTAACAGGAAATTTGCTAATTTTGTTTCAAAACATAGACTGAACTTTTCCATAAAATCATTTGTTAATATGTGTCTTTGGCCTTTTCAGTCTGTTATTGGCAAAAGCATTTGATTTCTTTTCCTTGGCAGGAAGCTAAGCCAATTTGGGGCAAGAAGAGGGAAGCAGCTTTCGCAACAGCCATAGTGTTTTTCTTCCAGTAGAGAACATGAGCTGTTCTCATAGAACATGAGCTGTTTTCTTGATCAGTACTTAGATGTTTTTATTATACTCTTTCTGCCCATTTCTCAGGCTTCATAGTGCAGTTTACCTCAGTGACACGTGAGTGTGTGTGTACATGTATGTGTAAGTACACATATGCACACATACATATGTAGTGTGTATATATATAGTATACGTATATATTGATATATATGACTTGATATCTTGACTTTCAAAGTGAGTTGAACATGTTATTGGTGGGACGTTATTCCATGTGGCTTCAGGTTCTTCACTAAGACATATAAAAATGGCTTAGTTAAACTTCAGAAGTTTGTTGTGTGTGTGCCATTCTGTGCCCAGTTGTTCCAGAAATTCTGCTGTTTTTTGAATGAGAAACTCCCTTCAGTCCTTGTGGTCACAGGAGATTTCACAGTACTTCACCAGCAGTGCTCCTGCATCTTTCGCCCAAAGCTTCCTCCTCTTTTTGGGGGGGTGGATTGCTGAGCTCACCTGAGGGCTAGCTGCAGTTCAGGGGTACCTCCCAGGGAGGACAACATCCCTCAGTCCATGTGTCGCTGCTGACACAGTTGAACTGAGGTTTCTTTGCTGAGAATTTGTTGTACCCACTGTGTCTTTGTTAATTTGCTGAGTATTTCTCTAAGACTGCAGCTATCTATGTTTACATTAATGATTATGAGTTTGCTTCCCTTCTAGTCATTGGTTTTGTTTTGTTTTGTTTTTGTAGCTCAAAGCTTTCAGTAATACACATTTCCAAGGAGCATGTATAGATTTCACAGCAGAAGTTTCTGATTTTACATCATTCATACCATGTTCTTTTAAGGTTCTTCGAGGATGGTAAGTCTGTTTTACATGCCACCATTTTCAGGGTTATTTGTTTATTTCTACTAAATTTCAGGTAGTGAAATGTGCGTAACATGCTCTCATCATATCTGCTCATGTCTTAGACCCTTGCCTTGCAGTGTATCTCAGTAGCTGTTGTCTTGTTCATTTAGATATTCTGATTTTGCTTTTCCTTTGAGAATTCTGCACAGTTACTGTGATGTTTAGCTTCAGTTAGAATCTACTCCGGATTTCAAGAACTCAGTAATAAGTATCTGCATTCCATTACTGCCACTTGATACTGGAACTCAGATTTCCATATCATATGATTTGATTTTTCTGCTTTGTCACATAGCCTTTCAATTCACCTTATTTTTAACCTCAACAGAAAACGCAACTTTTATTCCTTATTCTCTTATGAAATACTAAATCTTGAAAAAGCTTGTCCTAACTAAGCAGCTGGAACAGTTAATCTTTGTTTGTTACATTATTCTTACAGTTGGCTTCTGTATTACCAAGGGGAAATTGCTGACAATCACTGCGTGCTGGAAGAAGGCCTCTACTCCGACCTCACTTCCTGTGGCTGCCCCACTGCTACAATCAAATCCCTCAAGCCTGTCGAATATGTAAGCCCTTGCGTGAAAAAAAACACAAGCTTTGGAACGCTGTTTTCTTCTAGTCAGACATCTGAAGGAAGGGAGTGCATTAAGTGAACTCCCGCTCGGGAAAAGGAGTGTAGTTTGTTTGTTTGGCTTACGGGTTTGGGGGTTTGGAACAGGTTGGGCTGCATGTCACGTGTAGGCGTGCGCTCCGTGTGCTGGTCTGTGTGCTTGTGGGCTCTGTTCTGGGTAAGCTTTCCTGACTCATTTTTATAAAACAGCTCAGCGAGCTTAGTATGCAGCGCGTATTGCTTCTTTTCATGCTCTCTCAGCATTTCATTCAACCTTCTATAGCCCAGGTTCATTTCTGAAGCAAAGAAGGCACACTGAAGAGATATAAAATTGAAACTACAAGGTAGCATACATAATACTGTTTGATTTATTATTTTGCAGAAATATAAAAGAGATTTACCCCTCCTAATGAATCTCAGATGACAAGTCAATAAATAACAATATAGAATATAATACAAATGTGGCCTATGAGCTTTATATGACACATCAGATAGGTGGTCCAAGCTCATTTGTAGCCATCCTCTTTCCTTGGTGACTTCTAAGAGGTAGGACAAGACCTACTACGCAAGCACACTGTCTTCATGTGACTTTGGGGTCATGTTGAATGTAGTACTAGAGCACACATCTGTGCCTACAATCAAGTAGCAGAAAAAGTGAGAATGAGAGGTCATTTATGACCTGGAAATTGGATACGGGTACAGTGTGCCATCCAGCACAAGATAGTTTAGCTTGTTTTGGATCTTGCTGTAGTTATTTTCCATGTGTGATGGATATATATATGGAGGTCTTGTTGTCCTGTCTGTGCTGTTGTCCCATTAGTGTGCTCCTGTGCAAGGGACACAGCATACAAGCTGGCCATACTTTGAGTAAAACAGAAGCAAACAGCTCCTGTGCCCACTCTTCCGGAGCACTGGCTGCCTTATCAAAAACTCTTCCTCCTTCCCTGTTCACACAAATCAAACTCTGTCCATGTGATGTTTGCCCTTTATTGTAACTCTTGCAAAACCAGACTTTAAAAATTACTCAGTTCATAATTTCCTTCAAGTATAAAATGCTTTTACTATTTATGAACAGATTTTAGAAGAGCACCAAAAGGCACTCTCATGTACTCCTTGAGACTGAGAGCTGGTCCCTCTGCTAAGACAAACAAATCTTTGACTTCAGTAGAGCTGTGTCTGTTCACCTACTGAGAGCTTGGCTTTCAGATCAAAAATCTGCCTGCCACCTTAGTTCACTGGACTCTGCTCTGCTAAATCAGCATGAAGTTTTGACATGAAATGATGGGACTCATCCAAATGCCCCAGTCTCTAATCTCGTAGGGAGGTAGTTGTGCAGACGAGGGGGATACTCTTGATCACAGAGTACAAAGCCCTGGCAGAGGTGCGTTTGGCAGGCTGTGTGGGAAGCCTATGCACATCTTTCTGCAGTTTAATAGTGGCTCGCACCTCTAGTTCAGATCCCCTCTTGCAACTAGCAGCCCTTGTATTTCACAAAATGCAGACATTAAAATGCAATTGAACCACACCTGTTTTACAAATAGAAATGAAGTCACCAGCCCCTAACATATTGTGTGCAGCGAGCGCTCAGGTTGGGTTTGGGGCATTGTGCAACACAGACGTGATGTTGAGCACACAGCAGAGTGTTTGGTGAGCGGTCAGAAACAGCCGTAGTTCATCCCGTGCATTGTCTGCAGTGCACTGTTCTTGGAACAGAGCCCTTTTCCTTACCAGATATTTCTGTTAGCTCATTCAAGAGAGCAGCAAGTGCATTCACAAATGAAATTGTTTTGTAGCTCTGCAGAGTTCTGTTGTGCCATTGGGAAACCCTTCCATTGTTCAGCTTTAAATACCAGACCAATTTCAGACCTAAGGTGTGTGTAACCATGGCTCCCGCGTATGAGGAAGAGTGGTTAACCCTGACCCCAAGCCCTGAACTTGCATGTTCACCTGCTGTCTTGTAAATGAGATGTATCTGCTGCAAGAGCAGGTGTTGGAAGGTCTCTCAGACAGGGGAACAGGCATTGCTGCAACGTCTGATGGTTCTGCAGCGCAGGTGTTATCTAGAAGTAGAGGCCAGGGTGTAGAGTGTTTGGCACTTGCAGAGGAAAAAATGACATCTTTAGCAAAACAAAGAGCCTTAGCTATTACCTAGGAAGGTAATAGTAACTCATTGCCAATCTTTAAAACCAGTCTTAAGACCACTGGCTGGTGTAGATGTGGTCCAGTTATGATTTTTGGCAGTAGATCATTTCAAGTATTCCTTTGCCACAGAAGAACAGATCTACTGAATGAAATGGGGACACATAAGATCCAGGTGTCTCCTTTGCCATTTGCAAGGTTGGAATGAGTTGAGAATTAACTACCTGTTACATTTCCTCTATACAACTAAGTGAAATTCAAGCTGTGGCCTATCATCTGCAGTATGTATGTAAGGATGTAGATTCTTCGTGTGGTGCTGACTCCAAAGCAGCTGTGAAACATCGCAGTCAGCACAGCTCAGTGACACAGGCAGGGAATCCAGCACAATCTGGTACGACATTGCTTTCTGTACCCAAACTGAGGGGTCCTTTCTATTTCCCTCTGCTTTGATATCTAGAAAGAGCATCTTCCATGTAGCAATAACTTGAATATATTTTTATTTTAATTTTCACTGAAGTGCAGCGGTTTGAGGGGCGTTTTAGACTGTTGTTGGCTGCCATGAGTTTTCTAGGCTTTCAATCTCAGGAGGAGAACTTGAAGAATGAATTTGCATTTTTATAGGGGTCTCATAATATCGCCATGTTTTGATGATCTTTTAGAACAAAATTGTAGGGTGGCAATAGGATTTGGGTGACAGAATAAGGTTAACAGTATTGTCTTAATCTCTATGGACTCTATGAACAGCTAAGAACTTCTTCACAGCTCCTTGACTTGATGATTTTTATTTTAATTTATTTATTTATTGAAAACAGATTGAGTAATCAAAGGTGAGGAGAGGAAAATGTGATTTTGAAGCAACCAAAATGTTATGCTGATCTAAATCCAATTTAGCAAACAGTTTTAGCAGAGAAAAATCAGATTTTTTTAGAAAGGTAAGCTTTGAGATTTTATTTTAAAATCTGCCAAAAATATAGTGGTTTTTTTTTGATAGCTTAATCACATAATAAATTGAAAACTGGAATTCTAAATTGTTGAATTGGAGCAATTAGAAAAAACAAAAATTTCAGAGCAACTCAAAATTACTTCAGATAGAAAAACAATTTTGACGAGGAATAGGCTGATTACTGTCAGGGCGTTTTATGTTGGCTTATTTTTGTTCTAACATTTAGTTCTTGAATGGCTGTTCTTCACAAGCCAAAAAGGAAAGTTTTCTTCACTTAAGGCTGAAGTACCACCCTTCTCCCCACACTTATCACAAAAATCAAATGAACTGTGGTTATTTCCCCATTTATGTCCTGCTAAGGTAGAGCAATTAAGCACATCTTTAGAAACCAAGTTTCCTCTGCTGTTTTCTGGAGAAGTAGCAAAGCAAAAATGAATTTGGGTTCATAAAGAGAAAAGTGTTTCTTTAATCCTAGGGCAGTGTTGTTTCAATCCTCAGGCTTGGATGGATTGAGGTGTGTTAATGGCTACATTAATGTAAAACATGTTTTTGAAATGCCCTAAATTGAATTGAGAGATTGAAATTTGTCTCCCTGTATCTGCCCCTCTTTCTACTATCATCCGAGAGGAGGGCGAGAAATGGTTACAGGAACCTCTCTCCCCTCTTGCCTTGGTCCCTGAGGCACATAAAACTCAAAGTAAATGTTTATGAGGTCCTACCTGTATTTTTTCCCCCCTGCTTTTCCGTTTCCCTCAAATTCAGAGTAGACTGTGGTGTCCTGGGAATTTTTAGGAAAAGATGAGGGTTAATGAGAGGTTAGCCAGAAAGTACTAAGCATATCTGTAGCTTGAAAACAAGGAAAAAAATATCCTTTGTTTTCAGTAGTCTGGGAAGAAAAACAGTATTGCAAGACCCACATACGAAGCTGCATTGTAAATTGAATAGCAATACATTATATGGCCTCTGCTGTTGTGGATAGGGTTGCTTGGGGGTAGCCTGGAGGTCTTTTTAATGTGCTGTTTTGTAAGTGGAGGAAAAAATGCTGGAAGGTTTATCTGGCAGTAACTTATTTCTTTAAGTGAACAGGCAGCAGTACACTTCGAAAGACCAACTGAGGTTGAAAGGGAACCTACTGTGTAGTGACAGCAGGAATATTCAAATGCATGTAGCTTGCCTACGATCATCTCCTTTCATCTGAAAAATCCCAAAGCACTCAAGAAGTGTCTGCTGATGAAATTTCCTGGCATTATTGTTAATATCTGCTGCACAGGCAAGTTAAATCACTGCCTGGGCTAAGGCATCAGCCTTCAGGCTTCTCTGCGCTGGAGCCAGCAAGGACTTGTTTCAGACCATGCCAAGAAGTGACGCGGAGCGGAGCGTGCGCCACCGCGGCGCTTGGCAAGGGTGCCCAGAAACACAGCCGGGCCCTTCCCGGGGCCACAGTCACTTGTCCCAATGCCTGTGCAGCATTTGTCACTGAGAAAGTATTTTCCATGCATCTTCTGCATGGAGACACTTTGGAGATGTTCTTACAAAGCAGAGTTCAGCTTTAGCTCTGCCTTTTGCCAGGCAGGTTATTTTGTAAATCTCCTGATACTCTTTGGTGTAAGTTACATGGATAAGAATATCCAGGATTGTTGCAATGAACAATTAATTTTCCTTGTAATATGTTAACTTCGGAGTTAAAGTTAAACCAGTCTCATAACTTGTAGATGAGATCTGGGTTGTAGGTTATGCAGTACCTCTTTTTCTTTGAGGCATTCCTTACTCTTGCTCTACTCTGTCGTGACAATTCCTGTATTTGTATGCAGCTTATCTTTTCTAAGTTCTTCCCAGCATTCCTGAGAGGTAAATAATAAAATCAGATACAAAAATTAATTGGCATTTCCCAGGGCCAGGCAATGAGTCATTTGTAGGGCTCGGACTGGACCTTGCGTGTTGCTGTCTCCCAGCCCAGGCTCCGTTCCCTTCAGGCAGGCATCCTTCCCACACTGTAGGGAGAAGCCAGCCAAGTGCAACTTCAGTGAGAACCGCTGTAAATAAGTTACAAAAGCCAAGACTGAAGAGTAAGTTTTTTTCCAGGGAGGTTGTAGTGCAGCTGTTGAAGCTCCAGTTGAGCTCTGGTGAGTGCGGTCTGCAGAGCAGCCCAAGCAGCAAGTGGGCTATGCACCAGCCCTGGTGAGAAGCGGGTTGCGCTTGTGCTTTCATCTGGCCCCTATACGTTACTTGGATTTCTGGCTTTGGTTTCCTTTGGCTTTCTGATCAAAGTCTGCAAAACCCAAGATTGCAAAAAAAAAAAAAAAAAAAGTCTGTTTGGGGGTAGTCCTTCTCCAGTCTAATTCTTGCAGATTAGAGATATCTTTCATAAAATTTATAATGAAAAAAATTGACTGTATGTTATCCACACTCACAGAGTAAAATTGTACTTGCTTATATTGTAACCGAGTTTGTGAGTTCACATGTTTTTCAGTTGTAGCATGACTTCGTGCTCTATGTTGTATTTCTTTTCAGTGGCTCAAGCATCTAAGCCTTGAAAGGACTCTTACCTTGTGTTAATCTTTGTTTAATGTGAAATTCTTCTGGCTTGCTTGCGTTTTTTTTCCCTGAAGTGACAAAATATTGGACTCTCTTCTGAATTGTGAAAAACGCCTAGTTCGCAGTTTCTCTGTGTCAGATGTAGGTGGGGGTCACTGAGAGGTGCATTTGAGCTGAGGTGAACTGCACAAGAGCTTTTACTGTTTGATTTCCATAGCTTAGCTTCCATGCCCTGAAAGAACACCGGAGAGGGGAAGAAAGCTTTATCCTTATCGTTGCCTCATGCAGAATATTGAACATAGGCTGCCGCGCCTATTAAATAAAGCGTATCATTGTATCTAACAATTCACAAGGGTGTTCGTATCTTGAAGCGCTGTGTAAATACAGCCTTCCTTAGCTGCTGGTTTCTCTAATATATTAAATCTCTTCAAATTTATCCCTAAACATTAGCATTAAAAAAAAAAAAGAAAGAAACACCAAGACCTTTAAAAAGTGTATTTGGTTTTGGTTTAAGTGGAACAGTTCCTTAGCACTCAAAAATCACACTATATGCATTTAGTGCTATGTCATTCGTATAATTGGCAGGTTTTTCCCTGAAGTCTGACATATTTTCCTTGAAATAACGCTGAAAGGGGAAGCTAAGGCAGTCCTGACCTAGGCACAGAGGATGGCGCTGCAGCCCGAAAATGGGTGTAAATGCCCCTCGGCGTTCTGCAAGGAGCCGTGGGGCGTAACGTGCCTGTAGTAAGTGTCGCGGCTTAGCCTTGGAGCCCCACTATTTACTGTTGGTAGTTTCCATGGAGCTATAAAACAAAATCAGAGAAGAAAAGCCAGGCCAAGTCGCTGCTGCCAGCTGTTGGTATAAAGCGGTATAAAGTGAGGAACCGGCTTGTTCCTCTGTATATGGAAACAGAAGCACTTCAGAGCCTGAGGCAGCAACGCGTTCTCCTCTTCGTGCTTCACCTCCGTGCTGAGGCGGGCAGACGTGAGGGCCGCGACGCCGGCTGCCTCGCGGGGCTCTCCGAGCCCCTTCAGACTCCTCAAGCAGCCCTCACCACGGCACAGCTAGCGTCTGGCTCCATAGCCCCACAGGTTTGCCGTCCTCGCTCCTGGTTTGTAAGTGGATACGCCAGGACAGGTGGCGTGTCTGTACGGTACAGCATTGGATGGATTTTGCTGGATTTTATTGGATTTTGCAATAGCAGGATAAATTTTAGCTTTGGTAACAGTGTCTGTCTACAGAGATGCAAAAGGATGTGTCTCGTGCTTACTAAATCAGTTGTTAAAATTTCTCCTCGTGGATGCGTTCTGGTCTCCCCTCTGGAGAAGGCCAGTAGCAGGGGAGGCAGCTTATTGCAGACCAGAGTGTGACTAGACTGCTCTGCTGACCACAGCAACCTGAGAAGTGGCTGCCTGCACTAGGCCCACTGATCCAGATTTTGAAGTAACCCTTTAAACCCAACATAAATTTGACCCATGCTCCCAGCAAAAAGCATGTAGCAGACCAGGAGCTGGAAAATACGAGTTTTAATATATTTATGTTTTCTATGGTTGTGTTTTTCTGGGAGCCTAGCAGGCTTTTCAAAGTGTCTCCAAGTGGATGATCCTGGGTTCTTCTAAAATACCTCCGCAAACAACCTGTTTGTGGAGCGCAGCATGGCCAACATTGTCCCTGCCTCAGTTAGCAAAGGAAAGCAATTTCTCCGAGGCAGGATTTGAATAACCAGCAACATACCAAGTGCCCTGAGTCAGTAAATTCAGAAGTCCTGAATCATAACTGAGCTTTCCAGAGGCGCTCCACTGCAAAACATGTGCCTCTTTGAAACATGAAATCTGTCTTTTTCTTAATTACTCAGTGCTTATTTCAGCTTTAATACAAGGTTTTGTTCCATTTGTGCTTCTTTTTTCACCTGACACACCGTATCTTTGCTGCAAAAACAAGCCCTGGGCTAGTTGTGTCGGGCAACATCTCAGAAAAAAAATACAGAAAAAAAATACAGAGGTGACTTCCCCTGAGAGACTGCAAAGTAAGCAGCTAGACCTGTTACCTCTTCCTTTACCAGCTCTATCAGGATACAAAATACCAATGATTGTGATTGTGATTATGATACTTCCTGCATAATTTTTGCATTAAAAATACCAAAACACTCTACAAATTTTCTTTGTGCTAAGGCACAGCCTTTCTGTATTTACATGTATTGTGCTGTGCTTTTCGGCCTATCTTACAGCTGTACTACGCTTCCATGTAAACTTACCTTACTTGGTTTCACAGGAGATGGCTCAGCTGTAGAGAAGGATGTTAAGTAAAAAATGTTGCCGTTCCACATTACATTGAAGTGGTTACTAATGGTGCTGTTTCTTTCAGGATTGTCAGAAGAAAAACTTGAATGTTTGTTACAAGCATTCCAAATTTTATAGTTATGCGTTGTGAGTTTTCCAACCTTTTCCGGTTTACAACTCCTTGAGTTCTTTCCACTGGACCACTTAACAGCTACTTTAAGTCTGCAGACTACAGACTTGTATTTTGCCTCATGAATTTAGAAGCAGTCTTCAGATCATACCGAAAACTACTGCTGTAACCTGTTCCACAAGTCAATGGATAGACCAGATTTTTTAAAAGTGAGCAAGGCCCTAATGATACGGTCAAGATCATAGAGAGACTTTCCACATGCAAGCGGACACCTCTTTGCACCTCTAAGCGACTCAGTGACTGAGTAGTGTCAGCAGACACTATACTCAGGTGGCAGAGTCACTGATAAATCCAGTACATTTCTGCTGTGTGTGCTTTGTTGGTATGTGGATGTATTTTTCTTCTTGGTGTTATACTTGCTGAAGGAGCACGATTTAATCTAAAAGCATGAAGCAGTGAAACTGAAAAGGGCAGGTATTTGCAAGTATGTGAGTATTAGACTGAACAACTGCAGTTAGATCGTTCAGTCAGACTGTTTAAAAAAATCTTTTTCTTTTTTTCCTCTCTCCCCTCCAGGTTTTTGCTGAGCCCTCCATCAGCCTGTTCGCTCTGGAAAGCTGCAAGGGCAGAGAGCTGCACTTCAGCGACCCCATCAATTCTGTTCTGAACGAGGACCTTCATTTTTACACTCAGTCCGTATGGGTGAGAAGTGGCCTGTAAGTTCAGAATGAGTATTTCTGTCAGATTTTCACTGTAGGAGCAAAAAAGGAACATGTTTTTTCTCTCAGTACTTTTTTTCTTTTCATAGGGTGTGTTTTATATTCTAACTCTTTTTGAGACAGTGTGAAATCTTAAAATGTTGATGGAAGTTAATACTAGACCCATTTTTGTACCAGGATCTGAGATGAACACGGGTATACTGCAGGCAGAGTGTGTATTTTTCCCCACGTGAGATTCCTCCTTTTATCCCTGTGCATTAATGAACTTTAGGGCTTGTTGTTCAAGCTGGGAACCAAGAGTAAACCAGTTTCAATTGCTGACTCACAAAGATGGGTAGGTTAAACTTGGACTGGTTTTATTAACTGGCAGTAAAGTGCCAGCTGTAAACTGCAGTGATTTACAGGAACCAGCAAAGCTCCACGTGCTGTTTGGCTGCCGCAGAGGCAGCAGTTTCTGCGAGGTCGGGGTGGCCCAGGCAGCCGAAGCACCCGGGCTCTTCCGCACAAACCTTCCTACGTCTGCGGAAGTGGCCTCGTAACCTCCTCCCGTCTCCCCCCTTCACCTTGTGGAAACAGTCCCGCGTACTCTGTCCTGGCCAAGTTTTCAAGTCTCAGCCTAGACAACAGCAACAAGGAAATTGGAGTGTCTCATCTTTCAGCCAAGAAGTGACGCACCATTTCCTGTTTATTTTTAGCTTTTTCACACTTTCTGCCCTGCATTCCCATACACAGGGGCTATAATTTTGAGACATCTTTAGGGATGACCCAAAATGGTGCAAAGTTTGAGCTAGTTGGGCAAAGGATGAGTGTAGACAATTTACTATTAGCGTATATCTCCTTTTTTTTTATGATGCATTTTTCAAATGCCTCCAACTCAGTTGCCACTGAAAAGCTGAACTCTCCCTGAGGAGGCCTGTGATAATGCTGCCGACTACTCCTCCAGTTAGCTGAGGAGAGAAAGAAAAGTACAAAGCCTAAGCCTAACATGGGGATTGCCATCTCCCTGGGATCCCAGCCTGGATGACCACGTCTCTGCTGTCAGGAAGAGCCAGGGCAGAGCAGGAGTTGCTTAGCTGGGCTATCTTGTGGCTCTGTGATGTTTCCCAGGACAGACACCTCCATGTCCTGCCTTGCCCTACTCTGAAAAGGGGAAACCTAAAGATGGAGGGGGTGAGTGACAGGTAGTTAATGAGTCAAACAGTTTAGGATTCACAGCCTGCACAACAGTGATCTATTCGGTACCTACCTGCAGTGGCATCGTGCTGCCACGCGTAGGTATGAGCATGTGAAGCTGGACTGGGGCTGGGCAAAGGTGGCCTGTGCCTGGGGGCCTGGAGCACCCTGGTCCACAGGCCACCTTTGCCCAGCGCCAGTCCAGCCAGTGCTCAGGCAGCTCCTGGGCCTTCCTGAGCTGGGCTGCAGTGGGGACTGTCCCCCTGAGTGCAAGCAGCTCGCACCACCTGCAGGGGATTCTTCTTGCTGTAACAGCCCCTACCCTCATCCCTGGCTGGCCTATGAAGTTCTGCATTTCGAACATGACTGAAATTAACAGAATTAATTGAATTTTCAGTGACTTCGGAGAAAGCACGGCAAAGAAAAAGTGTGTTCACATTATAAGGGACATATTGTAATGGTTGTCAGGCTGATGAGAGTATCTGTTATCTAGGAGGTATGGGGCTTCCTTTGAGGAATCAGTGATAGGACCCCATGAAGAGGCAGTTCACTGTCTGCGCTTTTTAGTTCTGTCCAGTCTTGAGCGGGGATGTGTGGCTGCCTCTCCAAATCACACACAAGGGGGAAAGTGAATTACAGGTCCTGTGGGCGCTGCGTGTGGATGTTTTGTCGTGTTGTAAACAAGCAGTGCAGCCATCCCTGTTGTCCGCATCAGCTGACCTGTGACACAGGTATTCTGGGGGAAACAGCGCGTGCCTTGTGCTCGGATGAGGTAATGAGTCCAACAGTTTAGGATTCACAGCCTGCACAATGACCTATTGATACAGACAAAACCTGTCTGTGATTCCTAGGCCCCCTTTGTAAGCAGCAACACAGGATCTACGGAGCAGATGCCTAATAACAATCAATCTGCGTGTGCTGGTGCTTTAACTCTGCATTAATGGTTTTGACTGTGTTTATGGTCCCAATGTGCTCACAACAGGAAATTCTGTTACAGTGATTTATAATTTTGGGGGGAGGCTTCATTTTCAGACCAGTGAAATAGCTTTACTTAGCTGTAACAAAATAAAGCATTGAAGAAGATCCCTTTTTGTCCTCTGGTAATTAAAGCACCATTATGAAAAGCCTGCAAGTGCTGCTCTCTGGTGTGTGGCTTCCTACTTTTCCTGATTCCCAATGAAATCTGCATTATTCCCATCTGGCCAGGTTCATGCATACAGCTGTTTGTTTTCATCTGTGTGGGAAAAATATTGAGGAAACTAAAAAGTTGGCAAGGTTTAGGTACACAAACAGAAAATGGGTCTTATTTTAAAAGCAAACACTTGAGTGACTAAAATGCATGATATTTGGGACACTGCAGTATGGATTTAATTCATCACTACTGTGGAGTTTGAGGGCGTTTAAAGGTATGATGCTACAAGCCTGTGGTTTAGGTTTGCTATAGCTAACATGTAGTCTTTCATGTTTTATTTCCCATCTCCAGGTGGATTGCATATGAAGGATGTAATTTTTTAGGAAAGCAGATTCTGCTGCAGCCCAGTGAGATTTCACACTGGAGTGATTACAGTGGCTGGAAAGTAATTGGTTCCCTTCGTCCTATAAAACAGGTACTGTAAGAAAGTGTATGAGCAGCTTTTTTTTTTTTTTTTTTTGAGACATTAGTGCACAGGTACCAGCTCTACTACTAAGTATAAGGAAGCAGCACTGTTCCCCTTCTTAACTCAATCCAAATGGTAACAGCCAGAGGGGTCTACCTTAAAACATTACTGGCACAGAGAACTCAATTGGCAGCCACTGAGATCCATATTGGGCTCTTACAAGGAAATAATTGCTGGTTTACTTCCAGGTAAACCAAGTTTTGTTTCTCTCAGTGGTTCAATAACATGTTTATATATGTTCTTTTTTACATTTTTGCTATGAATCAATACTAATGAGGAAACCAATTCTGTATTGGCTTGTTTTGTAATGAGCATAAATGGAAGCAAGAACAATTATTATTGTGCAGCAGCCAGGATCTCCAAAAGAAGCAAAGCTGATGTAGGGTCTCACCAGGTTTTCCCTCTCTATTTCACCTCAGTGCCAATTTCCACCTAGTTCAAAGATTTTGGTCTCAAAACCACAAAGTGTTTAGGAGTTTTGTGAAGATTGGCCACCAGAGTGAGGCGAGACTGAACCAAAGGCCCTTTTCTTAAGGAAAGGCAGAAATGACACTGCCTCTCTGCTTATCCAAGATGCCTTAGGTAGACAGACACACACACAAGCGCCAAAGTAACTTCTGCACGTGTTGCTGTGTGCCCAGGAGGGAGGACAGCAGCGTGCATTTGGGGCATGTGAGCAGTAATGCCACAGGAGATGAGTTTTTATGTCCTGTGCTGCTCACAGAACAACTTGGTTTCACTTAGTGAAGAATGCTGCTTTATTTTTAAACACTAGATTCATCTGAGCAAACCTTGCAGCAAACTAAAGGTCTGCAGTAGTTAGACTAACATGCTTCCTCTCCCCCCCAGAAAAGTAAAGGAACTTTTAAAATGATGAATCCACAAAGATAATTGCTCACTGGAACACTTTGGAATTGGTTTGGAATTGGCTCTGAGATTCCCATTTGGGCTTTTGTTTTGCAAGTAATATATCCTCTTTTCCCTGTTATAAATTAGTTTTCAAAAGTCAAATCTGCTAATTTAGCTAGTGCAAGAACAAGTGAAACAGTCAAGCTATGATTTGATGAGAAATCATGATGAGAAGCATGATGAGAAATAACAATTTGCTGAGTGACTTTAAAAATAGTATCCTGGCCTTGTAAAGACCTTATATGCTGTCAGCAATTAACTGTATACCTTGTTTTATGGATGTGTGGTGGAAAGAGGCTTTGTATTTTCTGACTTAGGGTTGTTTTTATTATGAAAAAAGGATGTTCAGAGGTCTTGGAAGACAAATTATATGGGGGGAAAGGGAGGAGTACTGCCCTTTATAGCTCAGTATCCTTTAGTAGCTGTGAAACTGGTTGTAATTGAGGACTGGAGCAAAAGGTGAAACCACAGGGTTTTTTTTAAGTCACCGTTTTTTGTGTACATTCAAAAGCAAAGATTTAACTTCCCTGACACGTATTCCAGTCAACAGGGCTGAAGTTGTTGGACATGTGACTCAGGAAGTTATGTATCCTGAGAATAAAAAGTTTGTAGCGTAGAGCCCCCTTTCCAGCCTTGGAGTGAATGGAACGTACTGAACACGTTGGCATTGGCGTATCATAGGTGTATGTTCTATTTATATCCTATATACACAGATACACTAAAAACCTATCTGCCACTGCTGCGTGCAGCTGCATGTGAAAAGTACATTGCTGCTTTTTATGTACTTTGTGTCACATGCTGGTCTGCAACGTTGCGAAGTGCAAGCTTTGGAAAACTAACATAGGGTGGAGGGGAGGAAGCCTGCCGACTTTCTGAATCCGTGTGCTGTAACCGTCGTCCTTCCCGCTATTTCAGCCAGCCGTGTACCTCAGAGTTAAGAACCGAGCTCAAGGTAAATATTTGACAGTTGCTGGAAGCCTGGCAGATATAAGAGCAACGTCAGTGTGCGCGGCGCCGTACAATGGCAAGAATACCCAGGTCTGGCACTACTGCCGCGGCCTCTTCAAATCCAAGGTGAGTTCCCACGTGCTGGAAGTGGGTTCTGTTACCCCTTGCCCTTTCGCTTTTTGCCTTTTGCTATAGGCTAGCTTTAACACCAGGTAGTTTCTGATCCCTTTGGTTTTTAACCAAAACCTCTTACATTTAGAGACAGATGCGATCTTCTGCTTTGGTAATCCTGTCATCTTTTTCATAGTTGTGTACTGAGACGATGGTCCTGAAAGTAGGCACTTGTTTTATCTTCATAAAGTCTTAATTTAAGAAAGTTTGTTATCTCTACAGAGTTTGGAGTTTCTCTGCAAGTTAAAAGGTATTATGTGAAGAAAGGCTGTATGTGACTTTGCATAATGCTGTATAATTGCTATTAATATAAGTAATACTTCATATAAGCAATAGCTGAAGTAACAAATACCATCTTCTATGATCAATGAATTAATCTGTCACTGAATAATCTGGTTTTGCTCACCAGTCTTACCACCAGCCACAGCCACACAGTTACTGTAACGTGCTCGGTGCCCGAAATGGCAAGTGGTCAGGCACCAAACAGGCTCTGTGGCCCTGATATCATCACGGCTTCCTTCCTGTCCCTTAGGCTAATGATGCCTGCCTCGATGTCATCGGTGGTAGAGACGTGCCTGGGGCCAAAGTTGCGCTCTGGACGGAGCACGGGAAGGACAGGCAGAAGTGGAGACTCAACGAGGATGGGACCATCAGTTCATACCTCAGTGATGAACTGGTGCTTGATATTAAAGGTAAGAAAAAGAAAACACCCTCACATGTTCTACATGCATTTTTGATTGTGGTCAGTTGCAGTCTTCCAGGGTTTTTTTGTCTACCCTGTTAGGTTTATGTTCAGTTACTTGACAGTGGGACAAGAGAAGTGAGTACAGAGAAGAACCTTACTCTTTATAACTGATCCCCGAGGTGTATTTTGACAACTAGCCCTACTTCAAGGAGTTTGGTAATGCTGATGACAAGAAACAGAAGCTACAGATGGCAAAATGGTGAAGGAAAAACAAGCAAGCAATAGGTGGAGCTCAGAAAGAGCCACGTGTGCTCTGTAATGGGGCCAGGCTAGTTTGAGTTCTGTGTGCTCACGGCCTAGTCCCGCTGCCTCTCTTGGGAGAGCCACTCAATGACAAATGCCTGTCCCTAGACACAGTTTGTTTCAGGCCCCACTGGTGGGTTTTTTTTTTTTTTTTTTTTTTCATCCCTAAGGGAAGGCAGTGGAACAGTAATTCAATTGGTTATGAGACTGGGAGCACCGTGGTGGTATCTTCTCAGAAGCAAGCGCTAAGTGAATTGATAGCCCAAACCTTTTATATACAGGGCTTATATACAGAGGTTATGGCACATCCCACAGCCGAAGGCATCAGCGTTTACACTGAATGCCCTACTGGCCATTACACATATGATCTTTGCACCTGCAATTTTGTGATAATGAATTCTCAGACCAACAATGTTAAACTATCAGAGCATTTCTGACATTTGGAGCTAAGGAGTTAAACCACCATTACTACCTCATAAATATTAAGTAGCAAGCCATTAAAAGCAAAGTGAAATCCCCACGGGTAGCAATGATGGCAAGTTTTATAATATCAGAAAGCTGCTGCTATTTTACTGCAAAATCCAATGCTGAAAGCTGGTATGGGGAGATACAACTTGATGATAAAGCTGTAGGAGCTCTCATTTCTCCTGGTTGAATTTTCTTTATTGTGTAACAGTAAAAACACACTGTCCTTTCTATGCTACGTGTATCCAAAGGAGAGAGAATTTATTTTAAGGATTTCACAAGTTTGCAGGTGAAACATATATAGGTGCTATACCAAGTAACCCCATGAGTCTGTGTACCTCCGGCAGCAGGATGTGCCTTAAGAATCCCTACACACGGAAGGAGATCAGGACCTGCCAACAGCAAAATCGCTTTAGTAGTGCTGCTTCTGTGCACCAAAGTGCATGTGAAGTCTCTGCTTTGTGGTATCCCCTGCTACCTAACTAATGGAGGAATCTTGTATCTCTTTTACTGTAGGCCATAGTCATCAGGGGCTAGGCTGACAAGTGACAGCTTGAAGGAGAAAAACATACAGACGGTGTAAGAGCAGACACTGGCTCCTTTGTGAAAGAATTTCTGGTTTTCAGCTGATATTCCTACTTGGTCACATTTTAAGATATAAATATAAATAATAATATTTTCTAAGAATTTGTCTATTTTTGCCTTCACATGTTTGTTTGTTTTGTTTTAAGGAGGAAACTATTATGACAAGAATCACATAATTATGAATCAGCCCATAGAGGATGAACAATCACAGAAATGGGACATTGAAATACTGTGAGTAAAACCCACCACAGAGACTTGGGAAGATGACCTTAAGTGGATTATGAAAATTTAGAGAAAAAGAACTACTGAAGTCACATACCACTGGAACCTTAAACAGCAAATCTTCTCTGCTCTTCTTCATGCCAAGCACTGACTCCTAAAACAACTGAATTTTGCACAAATCTGAAGGAGGTGAAGTTGAGTCTTCCACAGAGACTGCACTCTTGATTCTTTAAGGCCACTCCTATGAAATTCACTATTACTGCTCTACTGCTCCTCTGAAGTATTAAAGTATAACATATGAGACTGGACAAAAGCTTTGCAAGACATGATCTGTAAGATAGCATGGAAAAGGCACTTTAGAAATGTTGCCTTTACCTTTCTCCCAAAAGCGGATGGAAATTCCCTGAAGAATTAATGCATTAAGGAGCTTGAATGAGGTTGCATTGGACTGCTTTAGATCCCAGGTAAAACTGCTTAGCCTTCAAGAAATCCTGAATCTCAAACCATCTCTCTTGCTAAAGTGCAGTTTATTTTGTTCATAAAGGCAACTTTGAACTGGACTTGCCAGCTCAGTGAGTCAAACAGAACAGTATAAAAAGCGTAACTTTTACCTCCCCACTGTTACTAGTAAAATTACCTTCCCTTGTTTTAACAGCTTAAAATTTCTGGATTCAGGAACTTACTTTGTTAATACATAGGCTATTTCCAACCCATGAAAATTGTGAGTTGCCTCTGAAGATGAGCTTTAACATACAGCCATATGTGTGCATATCCTGGATCAGGCTAGATTTCTATAAGGGCTAGCTGAATATAGAGCAGTAATAGCTCTATAGTAATAGTACTCTAGCTGTATTTTATTTGATGTATATAAGTTAATTTAATACGATCATTCAACATAATTCACCACAGTACATATTTTCAAAGGTGCTAAACAGCCTGCATTCCAACACTTGCTTACTCTCAGAGGAGCCATGTACTGTACACTAACTTCACTCTCATCAGCAACACCTACATCTTAACCTGTGGATGAGGAATTACACTAACAAAGAAAAGCCCTTTGTATGTTGGCAAATTCCTCAACTTCAATACTATGCAACCATCCCACTAGCCAACCTCTGAGAGAGTGAAATGCCTGACGGGACTCGAGATGTTGCAGGTTTGAGGCCTGTTCCTCTCACCATAGTGAGAAATATTGGAGGCATCTGAAGGGCTGTGATCACCTGAAGTCCCTGAAAGAGAAATCCCTTAGATCATTGGTATCTTCATTTCAGTGTCACTGATTTAGTTTGCTTCATTGACATTGATGTAATATTGTTCTTCCTTATTTGTATATTCAGGATATGCAACTCTATGATTATTTAAAGAGTTTAGATTAGCTAAAGACAAAGATACTATTTTCATTTCCAGAAAGTGTAACTGTTCCACTTGTGCATTCAAGCAGGTTCACCCTTTAAAAAAAGAAAAAGTCTGCCACAAAAATAAAACATATGGATGTCTATTTTTGTATGAAATGGAGTTCTATATAGTACTATTTAATAAAAAAATGCTACCTACTTGCACTTACTATTTTGCATTCTAAAATTACAGATGTTGTTTAAGTAACATATATTCAAATGTATATATTTTTCCAACAAAAGCACTTGTTTAGCTTTCTATGTAAGTCAGTATACCAAGTGTTCTACAGATGATTTTTGCTCTCCATATGCAATTTTAAAAGCATGTGTAAAAGCTCAATCTGCTTAAACCAAGATTGACTAAAGCATAGTTGGTGTGTCAGTGTTACATAATGAAGTAAAGCAGGCTTTTTTGTACTAAGAGATCTTGAATATAAAATGCTAAGCATGTATATTTTAATTGTATAAAACTTTTTAGGACAAGAAACTTGGTCTTTCTTCCTTACTCTCAAGCATGCTCCAGAACAAAACTAGTTTCTTTCAAATAGATGAAAAAAAAGGAATAGGTGTATCAAATGACTTAAGATACTCAGATACTTACATACTAAAATAATTGCACTACTAGCAGGAACTATGCAAATGAGTGTTGAAGATGAAGACTTCCAGTACAGGTTTCAATTGCTTTCCCAAAAATGAAGATGGAGTGAGGAGCAGTGGTTATAACTATTCACAGTTTATTTTTGTTTTAATTCTTTCTCTTCTAAGCCAAAGCGGCAGCACCTAGGAAGAATGGGATTTTCCCTAGGAAGTCTCATTGCTTCAAAGGAAAGAACACGAACAGCCATTACAGACTGGGATTCTCCTGAGCAGAAAAAAGCACAACCAGTATGAAGACTCCTTCTTTCTGTTTAACCCACCAGCTGCAAGAACAACACCCCTTTTCACAAGGTCCTGCTGTCTGCTCCTGTGCATCTTTAGCTGACCCCCAAAACTAGGTACAAAGGGGATGCTCCAGCATTCAGGTTGGAGATTCAGGTCATTCAGGTGTGTTGTCCACTGTGGCTCAGTGGACAACATAGCGTTTACCAAGAACAGACAGTTAGTATTTAAATATAAACAGTAGCTACATGTAAGTGATGAGTTCCTTTGTTGTCTTGAGCTGTCTGACTAAAGAAAAAAACGGGAGTTTTAACCTAATTTTAAAAGGACATGTTGGTGGTCACTCTTTTGTTCTCTTTCACATTTCAAGACTGCACAGATATTGCTGGAAAGTAGTAGGAAGGTCAAGCAGAGATTTCAAGTGATTTCAAGCAGCAGTTAAAATAAGAAGGACAGGGTACAAGAGGGGCAACCAAGATTTAATATCTAAAACAAGTGTTTGGGGATAGGGAGGAGGGTACTCTCATATAAAATCCTAAAGGAACTCACTCCTACACTTAAATTAGGCCTCCTTATCTGTGGCAGGTAAGAGGACCCATACCTTGTGGGGAGATAGATAGAACTTTCCGAAGGGTAGTAATAGCCTAGTAATTAAAGTTGCATGAGTTGTGTTGCTGCTAACATTTCTAAGCAGCTTACCTATTTTCCAGATTCCAGTCTTCCCAAAGCATTAAAAGAACAAAAATAACAGTTGACGCTGAAATAGTACCGAAGTATGTATTGCAGTGCTTTGTTAGACATCAATACAAACCAAAGGTTGGATGGGGGTGGCAGGGAAGTCTTTCTTGGCAGGAGGCTCTTAAGGACTGGGAAGGTTACTTCCAGGATGAGCTAATTTGCAAGAGCATTAAATAACTTCAATGAGACATTCAGTCCATAATGCCAAGGCAAGGTTTTCTTTCTCTTCATCTGAAATAAGGTTCAGTTCTTTAACACAAACAATACTGTTGCTCCAGATTTGCTTCAGTGCATCCAAGTATGACAAAGGAAAACGCAGTCCATGAGTCTGCTGCAAAAAAAAGGAAAATAAAATAATTCTTCAACTAAATGCAAGATTTTTCCTATTACATAATAGGGTTAGGAAGGAGGTACTGATAAGCAGATGTGTATGTGCTCCTGCTCCACTTCATGCTGGGATTTCTAGAAACATCTTGCAAGAGACAGCATAGCATCCTGCTAGCCTTTTCAAACAGAAGTATAGCTGACATCTCTTATGTGTGCTGATCATCACACCTTATGAAGCAGGAAGCCTAGGGTGCATTTCTTTCTTTTTGGATTTCCGCACTAAAGAAGGAAATATCTTTCTAATTCACAGACTTGCCCAGTGCTCCCGCTCCCTCTTTTTTTTTCTTGTTTTCTTTTGCATGGGTACATGGGTTTGGCTACCTCACACGCACAATCTTTGCAAATAGCATAGCAGAGCCTCAGAGCAGTACTGTCATCACAGTTGGAGCTTAAAGGCACTAAACTATATTTGGGGATTTGCACACATTTTTCACAGATGCCTCTACCAGGCTTCTCTACTGTGGAGGATCTACAAAATCTTTCAAAAAAAGTGAGAGAGCCAGGCAAAGTCTAAAGTCTTGGCTATAATTACTAAGGCAAGAACAGGCAAAAATCTGTTCCTATTTTGCCTCTACCATGTATTTGCAAAAACCTGTATTCAAGTGTTTAGGGTCACATTCCTAAGCTACAGCATCTTACTGTCACAAAGCGGAATGAACAGTTCCCAAAGGACACAGCCCATCTTCAGGAGAACTTACTTACTTACACTTCAAGCAAAAATATATTATATACACCTATATACACCAGGACTTTTTGCATTTCAACTTTGTTACCTAGGCACACAAGAGAAATCTTGTTAACACCTCAAGTGGTTAATTCAATAAGAGATTACACACTCCTAGCATTAACTGCCTCTGTGTTGCAGTTCCAGCATACCCAACTCCTTAGGAGTGGGCAGAAGTGCTTGGGGCCTGAGGGATATAGCAGAACTAGGGTCCACAGTACCTTATCATCTAGGACAAACTCACCTAATGCAGCAAAACACAAGATGGTGATGGGACTTTTCTGGTTGTTGGTTTTGTGTGCTCAACTGAATTGGCGAACATACCTGTGATGTGCCTTCCTCACTGGCAGCATCATCTTCAGCCCCCATCATGTGAGTTTCTCTTCTGTTCTTTAACGAGTGATACACATAAACCATCTCTTTGCGAATCTCATCCTATGAGACAACAGGAAGAAAGGAGTTGAGAATAAGTGACAATATTATCATCATCTGCCGCAGGGATCAATTAAAGCAATTCACCAGAGTAACAGAACAGCCATTTATGACATAAATTTGCATCTGTGCAAAACATCTGAAAAAGGTACAGCCTTTTTTCTTCTGCCTTAATGTTGCCTCCAGGAGATTCACAGGACTGAGTCTGCACTGTGCCATTTTTCTAACTTATTAAATAAATAATGCAATTTAAGTTGCACATCATAGATGGCATAATGAAGGAGCATGTATCACTACATTGCCATTATGCAACTGCTCTGCATCCTGAAAATGCATGATCAAAGCAGTGCAAATTCCACGGGCTGGTCTCACCCAATTGCAGTGTTGCATGCCTGCTGCAGGCATGATTTAGCTGTCTGACAACAAAGGACTCACAACTCAAAAAAAAATGCCCCAAACCTCACATATTCTAACAAACAGCAGTATGCACACAAACAAAATGGGGCAGGAAAACAAGGAATAATCTGGAAGGTGAGCTACATTCTTCTTACAGGTAAATATTTTATGTAAAAAAAAAGGAGAAAAAAAAAAGAAAAGAAGAAAGAAGGCATTTCTACAAGCAGAATGCTAAATCCTAAAATCCTGAAGCTGTCACTCAAGGAGCCATTCTCCAATAACAGTCTCAAATGCACAGAAACAAACCTACACAACTAAGCCAGAGTCTGAACACTGTAACCCAAAACTCCATCGATTTTGTGGAACAATTCAGTAGTCACTGGCACCACTTTAGACAAAGATAACTGGCTGCATTTGTATTCAATCTTCAAGACCCCCCCAGGAACAGCTGCAGCCAAGAGAATTTCCTCTCGAGGGAGCCGATTTTTAGAACTTGTTTATGCACTTGAAAATAAGGAATAAAACAAACTGTTGTCAAAAGCTATAGAGTCCATTTAGCAGTTGTAATGAATGACCTCAACTAATCCCAAATAAAAAACAGGCACCTACCGTGCAGAATCACAGAACAAATTCAATTTGGTACATCTCCAAAAGGCAAGAACATGCCGTATTACAACGGCCTCATGATTATAACAAATCCTAGTGAGATGTGGGATCCAACTAAGTATACTGCAAGGCCACTTTAAAGCCAGCGCAACAGAGAACCAACTCTCACCATGTCACCCACCCTTTTCCTCCCCCAAGCCTATGGGGATGGTTTTGTTTTACTTACAGCATTCTCTTGATCCGGCTCCACAGTAATTACAGCATGATCTCTGAACTGCAGTCTGATTTTGCTATCTAATTTTGGCAATTTCCCACCTAAGGAAAAAAAAAGGCCTGTATTAGAAAGGAAGGAAACCAGAGAACTGGTGAAAACTGACCCTAAACTTGGAATAGTAAGTATAGTTTAAACAACAAGCTAGAGCATAAGGACAATTTCTACCAGTTTAACATCCTCAGTTCACAGTAGTTCATCAAAATCACCAATTTCATTATAGGATAACGTTTGCTTTAATCTAAGAAAGAGGCCTGTCATCTCTTCCATCAGCCACAAGTCTACCTTTTGAGGCGTGCAATTACACACAACATGAAGCCTCTCAGCTAAGAGCTCTCCTTAACATAAAACACAAAAATCATAAAATGCAGAGTTAGTAGCAGCCCTACCATCACATCAGCCAAGTTAAAAACTTACCTGGTATCAGAGAGTCAGAGTCATTTCCCAAGTAAGGTGGCAACCGGTTCATAATGAAATCCTTCTTCATGTCAGATGATCTCAGTTCTCTGGTGTTCTCCAGACGGTCTGCAAGCATTCTCAAAATGCTACTCAGTTTTTTTGTTGAGTCAGCAATATCCACCTGCTAAATATTCACACAGAGTGGCTCTCACATGAACCCAAGCTCAAAGGAATCCAGCACGGCTTCCCTTAGGCCCTCCTATTTACCATAAGCAGTCGCCTTGGTATGCTCTTCCGCAGCATCACATCTTCTTTTGCTGTATCGAACACAAGGCCGGGAATTGCATCCAACAAGAAATCTCCCCAAGAGCTGAAGATCAGCAAGAAAACACAAATTAGACTGAAACAGCTGTACTGAAATGAAAGAGGAATACAACTGCCCCAATGTCATTAATACCTGGGGAAGCCTTAAGATTGGCGTGGTGCCTTAACCAATGCCAAGGGCTGAGCCCTTTAGCTCTGGTGCCAGATCCTCTCTGTTGCTGTGACCTGTCATTGCTGTTCTGCAGGCCCCGGTGGCAGCCCGCTCTCAAACTGCACTGCATCCTCACTAGCTTCAGGTCGGTGGCACTGCTACTGAGGGAAGGAACTGGCATGAGAAGGGGCCAGTTTGCTCCGATTCACATGCTTGCCCTCTACTGGGGGATTCAGATTAAAGCTGACCTCAGGGAATGAGGAAGCCCTGCTGGAGCCATTACTACCCAACCGCATCCATTTGTGGCCTCACCACAGAAACTAGGTTGGGTGATGTCATTTAAGACACTTTTATTTTGACAAAGGAAGGGTATCCAGGGTTATCTCGCCCAACATGGAGCCTCATTTTTAGCCTGAATAGTTACCACAAAGACTGTGTCTTGCTCGCTCCGCTTCTGTTCCACGGGGAGGGAGGATTACTGCCTGGACCTCTTCTGTGTCAACCTCTTCAGGCACGTGCCCCTCACACAAAGCACTGTACAGTGCATGTACGGGCCATCTCCCTACCCCTCTCTCACAGGTTCATTTTATGGGCAATAACCCAAAGGTGTGGCTAAAATCCAAGGCTCTGGCAGACTCATGAATGTATGACATTTATTACAGACTCATGAATGTGTGACATTTATTACAGCCTCCTTCACATTTTTCCACTCATCACCTCAGGTGTTCCACTATGGGCTATGAAGTGGGAGGGAAGGATCCTGTCCAACAAGTGCAATTAGGCGCCTGACATTTCCTTACTGTTTCCCTTTTCTTGCCCTGACTCTCCATCCATCAGTAACTATTTCCAGCTACTCACAGCTTGGCAAATTGCCTTGGTGAAAGCAAACTCCTCCCCATTTCCCTGCTTGCCCCAGCCTGGGATCTGGCCCAGAGAGACCTTCACCCAGCACAGTAGAGCCTCTTATGTTTCAATGCCTAAAAATCTCTAAGGGCCATTTCTATCAGCATCTCCTGCCCACCCAGCTTTCCCTGCATGTCCTTCCAGGGTGCTCCATAACATGGACTAACTGTTTTCAGAGAGGTCTTTTCTGAGAAATCCTTGCAGACCGTACTCCCCTCTAAAACCCAAATCAAAACACCAGCCTATGTTAAGATTTCTGCAGAGGCAGCCTCTTACACCTTGCTGCCAACAGCCTTACCAGATGTGGCTCCCACTTCTTCCTCCTAGGAAGAGGGGAACTCTTTGAGCTTTTCTATTTTCCTTTACACAGACACGTAGAGAACAGGCTCTCCCACAGTACTGTTTCTCAGGTAACTCCATGGGTTGACTTTTGGCTTAGGTTGTCACAGAGAAACCACCTTTACTCCACACCAGCCTGTTAGACCTCCAACAACCCCGTTCGTTACAATAAATGCAATTCCCATCTCTCCAGCACCACCTGACATACAATAGCTCTGCAAGGACTGTCCTGGCTGGGAGTGTTTGGTCAAGCTGGAGAAACCCTGTTCTGCACATTCAGAAAAATTCCTGTGTACTGATCTGTAAAGCAGCAAATCAGCTCAACCTCCATCAACAAGCTAACCTGCACCTTGTCACTCCTCTGATTAGTTCACTACATCAGAGATGAGAGAATTGCAGTTCAATATGAAGAAAGTGACCAAAAAGGCAGAGGAAGAGAGGAGGAATGCGACCATCTGTTTGGAGGTCACTCACTGCTTGTCCACTTGGATGAACTGTCAAACTTAGCCAAGTGAGTCAGCACTAATATGGCCTCGGCGTAATAAATTATGCCAGCTCTTTAAAAGAGCTAGCAACACTTGCAGAAAATAAGTTCTAGCCTCAGGAACAGAAAAGTAGAACGTGTGAAGAAATTAGAAGCACCTTTACCTAACTTCTACCAAGACTCATGCCTTTGAGCAGCTTCATTTTAAACCTTCTCTCAACCATGGAGGACTGGCCATGTTAGAAGTTTCCACCAGTTCTGACATCCTGGGCTTCCTGAATCTGCACCTGGTGGTTGGGGATAAGTCTAAGCATCACCTGGAATATATCCCAACTTGTCCCACCCTGTTTTGTGGCAAGCAGAAATCCTTGCCAATTCATAACTCTGGACAGTGACTTAAGCCTGAGAGGCTGATTAGTTAGCTGGTAGCAGCATTTTTCTACGTTATGAAATGGTTTCATTGGACACCAGATGTTTATCTAAGAAAAACTGACGTGCATAAATGAGTTAGGTGACGAAAACCACAGGTAAGCAGGAAATACTTGCAAAGGCAGAATTTGCAATAAATCAGTTGGAATAGGTGTGGGCAACTATCAAATGCCGGAGAGAACAAGACGAAAGGAGTAACTCATGACTCATTCTCCGGGTTATGAATGAACAAAAACTTCAGCCACTGATGAGATCCTCAAGTGCAAGAACGACCTTATAGCTTAACAGCTACTGCTGGGAAATGACAAAATAACCGGTTACAAAGTGATCCCCTTCCCTCCTTCCCCCAATTCCCTAAGTATGTTTGATTTCACCACATTTCTGAGAGGAGTAGTGATGCATCCCAATCTAGTACAACCCACAGAAAACAAAGAAACAGAAAAGGGCTAAATACATTGAACCTAGAAAAAAGTTAAGCAGAGCTCAATGCAAGGTTCTGTTTTAACAACAAGACATGCTCTCCCCTTTGAAATGCCAGTGTGGGTCTCAATTTTCAAGAAAATATTATGACAAAAAAAAAAGCAAAGAATAATTACTTGTTTTGGTAGGTGCTGATAGTCACATGTGTAGAGTAGGATATCCCAAGAGGAGTGTCAGCTTGGTGGATAGTCCCTCTGGGGAAGTACAGTAAGTCACCTGGCTACAAGAAAATAAAGAAGAATTCCTTATTTATTTAGGATTCCAGGTCAAACCTTATTGTACTGTTGTCAAAATACAAAACAAATAAACAAACAAAAACACCATGCAGAAAAACTTACGTTTTTTAAAATCACAAAATAGATCTTCCCTGCATATTTTTGTAACATAAAACAAAGTACTTTGTACCAGAAAGTCTGATACATCTGCCTGGAGAAAAAGCAAGCTTTTAGCATTATAACACATGCACATTCCACCACATTCCACTGCAGCTGCACACCAGGGACGAAGCAGCTGAAATGAACCCACTGACAACACAGGTGGCTAGCAGAGGAGCCGTGCAGTGGGAACCCAGCTAGATTTCCTCAAAGGAAGAGCCCAGTATTCCACATCAAAAATCAACAACTCCATAATGATGGTAACGTGTTATAATACCATTGTTCAAAACTTTCCGTTTTCATACCTCAAAACCAAGCAAGTAACACCTTCCCCCTCCCTATCTTTCATCTCACCCATCTAAATGAAATCTCCACACTAATAAAAGCTCAAATTAGGAAAAAATGTATGTATATAAAATAAAAAAATAAAATAAAAAAGACAACCACAAGGTAAGACAAGAAGCACCCAGCAGACAAAACTGCCTCTAAGAAGGAATGAAGACAGCACTTAAAGCTCCATTACAGAAAAATATTTCAAGTACAGTCCACAGCTATGAGATAACGCCACTTGCAGAAAGCATTCCATAAAGATCAAGCTAAAAGGTATTGGCGCACACCCCGAAGTGTTCCAAAAATAAGAAGGTGAACTATAATTCACCAGACTTTGCATCAATCAATACATCCTAAGGACTGCATATTACCAACTGTCAAACTTCGTAAGTAATGAGGTCCTTACTATACACAATATTTACTAATATTCCTAAACTACCACCACCAAAGGCAAGTTTGAACATAGGAAAAGCGTGGAGACTTTGCAGGCACAGGTCTTGCAACTGGACACTGGCGTGGCTTCCAGAATGGAGCAATAATGTCTGCTGAAATACAAACATGTAAAATAGCACAGAAGCACTAGATAATCTCTTGTCGAATGGCCTCATCATCATGAACTGCTCCTTTTTAAATCTAAAGAACAAAAACCAACCTAGTGTTCTTTACTGGGAGGAAGGAAATCAATATATCAAGTAAAATGGGATTCAGAGCATGCTTTTGCCCAGCATGGCATGTATAACGTTCCATTCCAATTCACCAAGCAGTGACAACCTCCAGCAAATGAGTAAACCTTGCTGCAGAGATGGATTAGTCTGATGGATCAGACAGCATGTTACAGCACGAAATGTGTCGTAACTACTTGGAGCTTCTGCTTTTTCTACCCAGGACTCCACAAAAGTGGCCAATGATTCAGGGTTCCCAACTTAAAAAATATTGAAGAAATAACAGAAAGCATTGATTTACTGATCAAACGATACCTTTGAAAAATGATAGATCAGACAATTATCACTCAAATTTCTAGTTCTCAGTGCTGTGCATACCAACCCACCCTTCCCCTGTCATTTTCACAACTAAAAGAATTTAGAATATTGCTCTCAAGAAATGGTCCATTTTAAATACAACTACTTTTCTGGCAACTATAGCCCAAAACAGATAAAACGATTACTATACCTTTAAAACAAATTCATGTGTTGAATTCCCAATCCTATCTTCTGATTCAACATTATACTCCCGAGCTAAATGCACCGTTGGTTTATACAGTCGCCAATGTTTCTCACCTTCCAGCTGAAGGATAAACACCTGCAAAAGAGTACAAGTCAAAATTCATAAGACCACCCCTCACATATTCAGCTATTCAAAAAATTTAACTTGTCTTCTTACTTGGCGAGTCTGTGGAACCATGCCAGAAACCAGAAATAAAATGCAAGCAGAAGTGATATAGGTTTCTGGTAACTTAAGAAATTGATTTCATCTTCCCTGTTCTCAGGTATTCTATAACTTTGGAACAGGATTCCTTCTTTACATTTGAACTATTTGTTTAGGCTCCATTTATAGACAGAGAATAAAACAGATCACCTTTCATAAGTGTTCTAAGGAATAAATTCCTGTTTTTCTGCAGTAACTAAAGCAGCAGCTAAGCAATTAACTCAGATGCAATGCCTGCCACATAAATATTCAAATTATTAAGTGAAACAAGTCTTATCACCATTCACTGACAAACAGTGCATCAGAAATGACCAGGGGATGATATGAGAAGCTGATGGCTGATATTCCAGAACGTGCAGGTTCTAGGAATGACACATTCATTGTGCAGCTAGAAAACAGACTAGCAAAAAACAAACAGGAAAACAAAACATAACCAAAAAAATCCACCTGCATATGTATTTAATGGAAAATTTTAAAATTACAAAAATAACGAATTTGTTCCATTGCCACTTAAAGCTTTTCTGTAATGCCTGCAAAAATCATTAGAAAACACATTTGAGTGATATATATTTTTTGAAGCTAGATGGCCCAACTTTGAGTTTTCATTTTTAATCTGCTATTTTAATGTTTCTTTTAGAAGGTAGTTTAAACTGCATGAGGATTGCAGGGCTCACTTCTTATTCCAGTAACTTGCTAGAGCAACAGGACCAGCACATTGGGAAGCAGCACACTCAGTCTGTGTTCAGTGTCTAGCTGAAGAAAGTTCAAGTACTTGGTGAAGGGAAATGGACTTCTGGATTCTTGGGCAATCTGAATGAGGTGAAAATGAAAAAGGCCTGCTAGGAAGCTTCTGTGAAAGCTGGGAAAACAAATTCTCCTTTCATCTAATGAAAGAATCAGGCCTAGAAAGCACACTTTAACGCCACATACTATACCTCAGTACCTTTTCAGTAAAATTAGATAGATAAAGGAAAAAAAAATACAATAAAGAAACACTGGCAAGCAGTTAAAGCCTTCAGTGCAAAAGCATTTCTATATAGGAAGGTAATCCAAAACACAGGGGTGGGTGGGAAGCACACCTATAGGCATCCACCTTATTGCCACTAGCAAAAGTCCATGCATGCTTTCACAGACAAGTTTGGGTTGGCCTACCTCAACATCATCGTAATGAGGGGGAAGGCCCTGCGACCCCTGAGGAGTAATGTAAACATTCGACCCAACCAGAGACCCGAAGTAGCACTCCAGCTTCTCCTGAATCTTCCACAGCTCCTCCTTTAAAAAGAAATGATCAAGTTACCACTGAGGAGCTCAGCCAGGCCAAGCTGCCTCCCAGGTTACAGACACCCAGTTGCTCAGGAGGCTTTTCCAGTGAATTATCACATCCTCACAGAAAGCACAGGCTCTGACACAACGGCAGCGGCCATAGGAGACAGATGCTCTTGCTGCAGTTCAACACCACTGAAGCAAACAAGGTCATGAAAGTAAACTGTAAGTCAAGAAGTCTAGAAACAGATGCTACAAAGTTGACACTGCAACCTAAAAATGGCTCAGGCAAGAGAACAAACAACAGCGGGGCTGGACAAACAAGAAAATGTCAGCAATGCATTTTAGGGCAATAAACAAAACACTCACATTATGTGGGCCAACATCGAAGATGGCACGTAAGGGCCAGAAACCTTTTTTTCAACAGTACCAATTACAACAGAAATCAAGCAGGATTCTGCAAGCACATAATCAAGGAGATAGCATCTCTGCTTTGTCTTTTATATGCTCCTGGTATTGCACAGCACCCGTATCAGGATTCTGGGTTAAATAAGCCAGGGAGCTAGAGGCATTCAAAGCAATAATTTCTAGTATCTGTTATTCAATCTATTAAAATTACTTTGCTCCCCCTAACTAAATATGTATTTTAATATTTAATTGATGCATGCCAAAAGAATGTTTTTAAAACATATGTCCAAAGCATAAACCAACCAATTTATGAAGAAGTACATCATAAAAGATGCTGAAGAATGCCAATTAGACTTCAGCCACCCTCCCTCAACTATCACTCATCTATGTAAATACAGTCCACAGAAAGGAAAAAAAAACATTCTAGTAGCTAACCCACAAAGCTTTTAAGTCACCTGCTACTTTTATCTAAGCTGAACCAAAGTTCTAAAACACTGCACTTTTCAAGAAAAGTAAAGAGACTAATGCTTTATGGAGTGTTACTTTAATCTGATTTTTTTTTCTTAGTAAGAAAGCAGGTCAAGATGGTACAAAGTACTACTGGAGGAAGAAGACAGAAAGAAACAAATGGTCTCCCTGTTTTCCAAACGCATCTTACTAAAGCAAAATACGTGAAGCCATTATTCAATTCCACAAGGAATGTAAATCAGCATCAGAACTCCCTGCACATTTCTGAAGAACGTATCTTAAGCTTTTATATTGAACTATGAAATAGTCACATATTTACTATGGTAAGCCCAGGTCCAGTAATCTTAAAACCCCAGTGTAGAAGGCAAAAGGGATGAAGCTAAATCCCAACCCTCTCTTGAGTTTGGCTTAGAAAATGACCAGCTCATGCACAGCACATGAAACATAGCTGAGCTTGGCACTACTCCCTGACCAGACACTGATTTTATTGTTTTTCATTTTTCTCTCAGAACAGATTTTTCTTATTACTTTTCTGAATTTCATTTCAAAAACATGTTTGTTTATTAATGGTTGGGCATATTCAGGCACCACCTCTACTCATCCACGTCTAACGTGACATACGCACATGCAGGCCTGACTCTCACATCAGCAGATGCCAAACTACCAGAGCTGCACCAAGAACAAATTCAGTGCAATTAATGTACATTCTGCCCAACCTCCAAATTTCAGCATAAACCATGCAATATTTCAAAGCTGAAGCCCCTGCCACTGGACATCACAGCTACACTTGAACAGAGCTACACTTGCCCATGACCCTATTCTTGGCATGCAGATGTACATCTGGGACCCTAGGGATCACTTTGTGGTTAAATTGTGTTTGCACCACAGTGGACAACTGGAAGATATCCAAGCAGCTATTTGCAAACGAGCCCTTTCCACAACTGTACAGACACCACTGCCTCATCCTCAATATATGAGGGCTACTAAAGCACTTCAAAGTCAATCCTCCTACATGGCCGGTGGTGTGCCTTGGGAAATACCTTGTGCGGTATCGCACCTTCCTCTGCACTAAGGGAAAGTGCTAAAAAATCTTGTATTTGCACGAGGGAAAAAAACAAAATCTGGTAGCAGGGTTAATTTAAGCAGACATGGGGTTACTTATCAACTTAATCTATTTTCCTAATTACATGTGACAAAACATTTTTTTAATACTTAATTTTACAGCATTAGTCATATTTTGTTCCTGTGACAGAGCACCAAAATATGTAGGGTAGATTATAAACCCTGTTTTAATCTACACAGTTCACATACAGGTTTCAGCAGGTCATTGATGTCCACGCTCTCTCCTGGATTTACTGGAGGCAGAGATGAAGCCAAGTCTGCCATGACTCAAGCAAAACAGACCAAAAGTTATACAACATGCGTTCTTTATATTCTAAGATAATGAAGTGATCCAACCTTAAATCTTTGAGGCTGATGAAACTGTATTGTTGCCTTTTTCTGGTCAAAGTCCTTCTTCAGCTGCATGTAATTCACTTTGCCTTCTTTATTTAAAATCTTCTTTTTTCCATTCACACATCTGCAGATATTAATATCTCGGCCATAGTACAGACCCTGGCAGCACAGTTCCTTCAAGTCTGACAACTGGAACAGAGACTGGTAGTAAGCAGCCAGCAGAGGGTCATTTCTCTGAACAAGCAGTGGCTTTTGCTCCCAATACTCCCTGAAAAACACCTCTTCTTTGATGGGAGAGATCAAGCTTCCAAAGAGGCTCTCTGGGCTCTCATAATTCATAAGTGATGGAGAACAAGCTCCTTCCACCTTTGCTCGTTTACACTGTGCCTGCATTTCCTTTCCCATTTCAGCACGCCTTCCTCCTTTCTTAGGCATGTTCCTGTTTGAGAGGAGAGAAAACCAAAACAGTCAGCTCATAACACAACCTCAAGAGCTCACACGCCCAGGGCAGCCCCTCTTGTCTTCTCCAAATGGGTGCAAGGGCGCACCAGGAGCAGCTCTGCTTTAAGATGCTCACGCGTGTCTTGCACTATTCACTCCAAGCAGCAAGAAAGGCCCCAATGGGCCCCCATTTCTCCTGCAAACTCCAAAGGACTCTGCTGGAAGCTGTTGCTCAGAGAAGTCCCAATCCCGCAGCTGAGTTTATACTAAAGAACACATGATGAAATAAAAACCACACTATAGAGCCTTATAAAGGCAGGAATCTAAACATAGACACAGAGCAGTAGTGGACAAAAGGCCTTAGGGAATCCTTCTTCTGTAGGAATAACTGCAGATTCCTAAAGATTCAGATTTGAATTAAAAGATGTAATGTTAATTTGGAGGGAAAGGGTAAGGCCATGAGCAGAAACTGGTACTCTATTATGCTTCCTTGAACTGCACTGAGAGCAGAATAAAAGCACAGCTAAGACTTACAAATGACATTCCAGCAACAGGCAGCTGGGGGCTGACGCGCAGTATTTCAGATGCAGAAACCAAACAGTTAAAAAGGTACAGGGCTGCAAGGGGGCTGGGGAGGGTGAGGAAAGAATACTTTTCTATCTGTCTTACATATTGCAAACTGTCTTTTTCAGGCCTTTTAAATAATTACTTGTTTAGAATATATCTAGAGTTTATGTATTTATCATACAAATGCATCAGAGACTTATTTATCATTATATAAATCCACTCCACTACATTAAGGGCACTAATTCCCAGCATGAGCTGTTATCTCAGCCAGCCACTGATGCGCACCCTTGGAGTTAGCACGACACGTTCTGGAAGCACCAACATTCACATCAAACAAGGCAGCTCTTGATACAGAAGCCACGCCACGGCAAAGCAACGGACGGAGTAACTTATACCCAGCAACTATGCAGTTACTCTGGGCAGTTACATACCTACCAAACCAGCAAGAATGAAGATATAGTGATGAGGCAGCCCTTACACTAGTACAACAGGGTACAGTAAAAACTACACAAGAAAACACACGGAAAGGGCATGAAAACAGGGTGGACAAATGAAAGCGCAGGTCACCGTGAGGGAATTAGCAGGGGTGGTAACAGCCATCTTTTCCAAGGCACAGAAAAGCCTAGAGTAGATCCTCCTGCAGGTGGAGCCAGCGTCAGGATATTAAAAGACACCTGCCTGAGGTCTCAGATCTTGGGAACAGTTTTATGCTGCATTGTTTTATGCAGGGAGGTTGGACTAGATGATCTCTAGAGGTCCCTTCCAACCTTAACCGTTCTGTGAATCTGTGATTATTTTGCACTGCTAGACACCCATTGATGCTCATCGTACTGTTGCAGTGACACACAAGCTCAGCCTCTGTTGGCGTCTCCACAGTGTATTCTGGACGGCCAGAACTGGCAAAAACAAGGTTATGGAAGAGAGGTCGTCTCTCTTCCATAATTTTTAATCATTTTGTTGATGTTACATAATTACACCAAAATCTAAAAAATTATAAGCTGGTATTTCCACATCTGCAAATCATTCAGACTTTGGGGTTTATGTAGAAAAACAAGCATTCTTTCAACAGAGTGCAGACATTTTATTTTACAGATAGAAGTAACTCAGTTTGCTTTTCCAGGTAGATAGATAATATTCTTGCAAATGATTATGTAAAAATACAGAATAATTCACAAGGGGTTTATGTGCCAAGGTGTCAGGAAGGTTAAGGTAAAAATCCAAGTTAACAGGAGGTTTAGCTTGACAATACGTGCAGTCAGACTTGCTGACTTAACTTTTAAGCCAGCATCCCTGGAGTGACCCACAGCTTGTGTCCCAGGTGAAAGGCCTGCTTGAAAAGCTGAGTTATACATGGAGGCAGTAAGTTAGCACCAAGTATTATAGCGTGCAGTTTTCATGCTACATCCAGGCTTGCTAATACAAACTGCCCTTGTTCAAAGAAGTTTGTAGAGCAAACACAGAAGATAGAACTACGTATGCTACCATTTCAAAGTAAAAACAACAGTTTTATTCCAGAAATAGCGATTTCATTTATTAACGTGGTTATGTTTACACAGATCCCTTACCATGAAAGTTACAGCATTCTAGTTCTCATATTCACACAGAGGATGAAGTTCTCCTGCGTAGCACACGCTCACTACTCCACAGACTCCAAGGCAGCAAGGTGTTTCACCAGTTGTATCAGTCTGCACCTCAACAGCAGCCTGCTATAGACCTAACCCAGCAGGAGGTAACACACCTTCACCTTCCTGAGAAAATGGATGTTCCCGGCTGCAGTTCTCAGTAACGCAAGGAAGCACTTAGAAAGCCTGAATATTAGTCCACAGCTACTAGCTAGCAAGTTCTGAAGATGCTGCAAGCACTGAGATCTGTTACTGACATGCCCAAGTGCTAACAGCATATATGCAACTAAACTTGACTTGCTAGTTTTGAATCATAGACTCACATCCACTGTATCAGCCTCTCAGGTCACTTGTACAGTATTTAACAAAGTTAAACGCACATATGTCCAATTTGGAGGCTGGGGTTTCATTTAAAAAGTCTACAGTGCATTCTACAGTGTTTCGTTACTTTATCAGAACAAGCAAGCAAAACATGTCAACATGCTGGGCCTGCAGGTGTTTCTGCTTCAGACAGAAACAGTTACATGACTTCAGTATTTCTGCAGTTGCACACCAGAAGTTTAGGCCTCTCTACCCAGGCCAGGGAACTGCAGACAGACTCTGACCCCTCCAAAGCAACAGGGAATGAAAACGGCCATTCTGCTCCTCAACCACGTGAGTGCTGCTGCTTCCCCCCACTGCAGCACGACACATGGTATTAACATTTTGTCCAGAAGAAGAAAACACAGAAAAACTAAAGGGCTCAAAAGCCAGCAGCAGGCAAAACTCAAGGGCCCCTTCCCTGCAGGCCGCCAACACACGCATGCGGCTGCGCTGCCTAGGGCAGCAGACTGCGCGGGCACGAGGGACACGGAGCGAGCAGTGCCTGGCACCTCGCAGCCCCCGGGGACGCGGCTCAAACGCGCTCTGAGGCACAGGGCTGATGCACAAGTCGCTTCGGGCATGGGGGATGTGCAGCCACGAGGCCCTGCGCCCGGCTAGCAGGCACTGCCCGTGCAGGCGAGACCCGCGGTGCCCGGCGCGCCGCGACGGCCGCGGCCGCTTTCCTCGCCTCCCGCGGCGGC